CTGTCCTTCCCTTCACCTAAGATAATTCTTATCTACTATCTAGTTAGTAAATAACCCTCCCTTTCCCTCCCCACCCTTGTAACCATCAAAGAATGTTTTCTTCTGTGTTTAAACCTTTTCTTGAGTTCTTATTAATAGTGGTCTTATACAGTATTTGTCCTCCTGTGACTGACTAAATTCACTCAGCATAATGAGTTCCAGCTTCCTCCACGTTATAAATGCTTCACGGCTTCATAATTGTTCTTTATCGCTGTGTAGTATTCCACTGTGTGGATATACCATAATTTGTTTATGAATTCTTCTGTTGATGGGCACCTAGGTTGTTTCCATCTTTTTTTCTATTGTGAACAGTGCTGCAATGAACATGGGTGTGCATATATCTATTCATGTGATGGCTCTTATTTCTCTAGGATATATTTCAAGGAGCAGGATAGCTGGATCGTATGGTACTTCTATTTCTAGATTTTTAAGGAAGTGCCAAATCGATTTCCGAAGTGATTGTACCATTTTACATTCCCACTAACAGTGTATAAGTGTTCCGGTCTCTCCACAACCTCTCCAGCATTTATTTATTTATTTTTTGTTTTTTGGATTAATGCTAGCCTTGTTGGGGTGAGATGATATCTCATTGTAGGTTTGATCTGCATTTATCTAATGACTAATGATCGTGAGCATTTCTTCATGTGTCTGTTAGTCGCCTAAATATCTTCTTTGGCAAAGTGCCCATTCATAACTTTTGCCCATTTTTTAATTGGGTTATTTGTCTTTTTATTGTTGTATTGAAGGGTTTTCAGCAGAAGAGTACAATGATCTCACTTTTCCATAACTGATACAATGTCCATGACAATTTGTTTGATATTTGGCAAAGTTAACTTTCCCAAGATGTTAAAAAGCACAAAGAAACATAATGATTTTTATATACTAGCAATAACCAGGTGGAAGACACACCAGAAAAAAACCCACTTACAATACAACAAAAACTATTAAATACCCATGAATTATCTTACTAAGAAACGTAGAAGAACTATATGTAAGAAATCATAAAATTTTGATAAAGCATATAAGAGAATATCAGAATAAATAAATGTTTCTGGATGTGAAAACTTAATATTATTAAAATAATTCTCTTTATGTTAATCTGTAAATTTAATGTAATTCTAATAAAAATTCCAGTAAATTTTAAAGGATGCTTGACAAATTGATTGTCAACTTCATCTGGAAGAGTAAATGTGTAAGAGTATATAAGAGAATTTTGAGAAGTAAAAATGTGGTAGGTGGGAGGACTTGCCTTGTCATGGAGAAAACTATATAATAAAGCTATAGTAATTAAAACAGTATAGAAAGTCAAAACATTCAGGGGGTTATGGCAATTTTATATATGATAAAAGAGGTATGCCAACTGAATAGGAAAAGATTGGATTTTATTTAATAAATGAGGGTGAGGAAAAGAGTTAGATTTCTACCTCATACCGGGTACTAAAATTCCAAATGGATCACAGATGTAATTGAAAACAAACAAAATCATACGAGGGTGGGGAGGGAGGGTGAAGGTTATTTACTAACTAGATAGTAGACAAGAATTATCTCAGATGAAGGGAAGGACGGCACACACTACAGGGGAAGTCAGCACAACTGGACTAAACCAGAGCTAAGAAGTTTCCTGAATACAATCAAACACTTTGAGGGACAAAATAGCAGGGATAGGGGTCTGGGGACCATGCTTTCAGGGGACATCTAGGTCAATTGGCATAACAAAGCTTATTAAGAAAATGTTCTGCACCCTACTTTGGTGAGTGGTGTCTGGGGTCATAAAGCTTGCAAGCGGCCATCTAAGATGCATCAATTGGTCCCAACCACCTGGAGTAAAGGAGAATGAAGAACACCAAAGACACAAGGAAA